TATAACAAAAAGTTGTGTGTCTGATTGGTCCAAATGCTACAGGAGTCAGCACTTCACAAAGAATCGGCTCTTAGAGCCGGCTTGTTCGCGAACGACACATCACTAAGCTGTGCCATTACAGCTCGTATCTGCTAAAAACATCTGTTTTGGTTCTGATTATCATGTTTTTCGTGCTGAAATCATACGTTATAAACCATATAAGTTTAAACTTATGATATACGGTTTTCTGAGCGCACACATCCGAAGCACACGGACAGAAAGCGTCTGTCACAGCATGTGAGTACTAAACTAAGTTCTCATTCACACACAAGTTTACTTAAAAATACACATGAGTTACAAAAAACAGTCAGTTATGTCTGTGAAGGTAAAACAGCTGGGAAATAAATCGCATGTTTATTTTAGATATGTGTGGCAGCAGCAATATACAGTAAATAAATCAATAAATCCACTGCTCTGTTGTCTCCTCTGAGGCTGGGACTCTAAACAGTGTTCTGTGCAGCCAAAGGTAGAACAGTTAGCATGTTTTGCTCAAACTTTTGCCATGGCGTTACACCATCGTCGCTTGCAAAATCAAAATGACGGTGCCATGGGTGGAAACTTACAGATTAAGGGGCGGTAATATTATAATCGGATCCCTTTGCCACGTCACCAAGGGAGCGAAATCAGACGTGCTCTTTTTCATAGACGCTTGCCGAAAAAGGCTTACCAAAACAAAGTTACTGGGTTAATCTTTTTCATGTTTCCTTGGTTGGTAGATGCACCGGGGACCTGATTATAGCACTTAAAACCTGGAAAAGTCAGATTTTCATGATATGTCACCTTTAATTATGTTACAGAATCTACAAAGCCACAACAAAAATGATACAGTTTTGATTTTGCAGTTTAAATTTTATGCAATTAGAGTGAATGCAGCAAAGAAAATACATAGACAATAATTCTTTCCAGTTTGCTGTCCTTGCTGGTTATGCAAAATGTAGTCATTCACTTACAAATCAGATCATTCATTTGTCATTTTAATGAATCGGTCAAAAAAACTTGAAATGAGAACTGTCGCTGAATTATGTGTACTGTGTAGTTCTCTGTGTACTTATTGACAGGTTGCTCATATGACAACATGTAGATATAGATACATTCACAACCGGATTTTCCCTTTTGAAATACCTGCTTAAGCAAGCCTACACTACCATTCAAATGCTTAGGTTTGGTAAGATGATTATTTTTTGAAAGATATCTCTAATGCTCAACGAAGCTGCAAACATACAGTAAGAACAGTAATATTGTGAAATACTATTACAATTTAAATTAACTGTTTTCTTTTTTAATAGATTTTGCTCCCTTACTCCAGTCTTCAATGGCACATGATCTTTTAGAAATCGTTATATTATGCTGATTTGGTGCTCTGTAAACATTTCCAATAGCAACATACCAATGAGGAAAACAGTGCTGCTTAATTTTTGTAGAAACTATGATACAATTTTTTTTAATAGAGAGCTCAATAGAACAACATTTATTTGAAGTAGAAATCTTTAGTGTCATTTTAAACGTCTTTACTGTTACTTATAATCAATAAAAAATAAACTTTTGAATGGTAGTGTAAGTTGATTTGCTGGTCTTAGCTGGTTTATTGTGGTTTCCTAGCCAGTCATTCCAGCAGGGGCGATTCTATGATTTTCATTTTAGGGGGGCTCAGCCCCCAAAGAGGGTAATAATAAAAAAATAATAATAAATATATAAATAAAAAAAATGTTTGACTAATAGGGATGGTTTACTAAACTTATTGCAGTATTCCACTGTATTGCTTAGATAGGTATAACATTTGAGTACTGAATAAGCCTTCCTGATCTCACACACACTTTACTGTAGTTAAAAACATAAAATTTTACTGTTCGCTTTTCTAGTACAACCCTCTTTCTTTAGCTCAAGTATGCAAACCTCTTTGCACATGCACTGTAATATGTATTATATTGAAAGTTACATTTTCAAATGAAAATAGCAACATGATCGTTTCATAAAGTATGCGGTTTCATTTTTGCTGGAGGAAACAACTCCAGTGATTAGGAAACGCATCTTTCGTAAACTGTATTTATGACAAAGAACTGCACAGTTGCAGATATTATAACAATCTATCGATAAACACACACCTTGCCCTCTGTTTCTCGCTCTGCGCCGCCGCGGTCAGCTTATTGAAGAACGCGCTGAAAGACGGGGAGGAGCCGAAGTCTGCCGCTGTATTCATATGAAATTTAAAGGAGACTGAGGCGATCACGAATTCATGTACAGTTTATGGAGCTGATCGCAAAATTTTTAGGGGGGCTGAGTAGTCAAATATAGGCCATCTATAGCCCCCCCTTAAAATGGCCTAGCAACACCCATGGTGAGTATTAGGCTTATCATTATTGCTGATCACTGTTGTTGTGCTATGATAATATTTTGTAATATTTACCATTATATAATCAGAGGGGTATAGAAAAGTTTATGAAAGTGTCACTCCATAATACAATAGCAAAATATATAAATATGTATAGTATATTTACGTTACATTAATCAGTGTCTAGCACACCTTCCTAAGGAAAGGATATGGACCAGAAGACAAATATAGGCCATCTATAGCCCCCCCTTAAAATGGCCTAGCAACACCCATGGTGAGTATTAGGCTTATCATTATTGCTGATCACTGTTGTTGTGCTATGTTATTGTAATATTTACCATTATATAATCAGAGGAGTAAGAGAGAGAAAACGCATCTCAACCCCCGTTGCACACCGTTTCCAGGAAACATGTCGTTCAAACCGGAAACCGTAGCGGTGCACACCGGTTTGAGCTTGAACTTGCCCCTGGTGTATATCATGCTACTAGAGTTTGCCAAATCTGATAGGTTCCTTTGCGTTCACTCCACCCTTTGCGTCGTGGATAGTCTCCTCTCATTGGCTGATTTCTCTGGAGCCCATCCTCGTTCGATTACTGCAACCAATGGACGTCCGTGATGTCATATGAGCTTTTGCGTACACGCCCCAACAGATCATGCGCAAAGCATTTTGGTACTTGAAGTTTAAAACGAAGCCTTCAGACTGAAACAAATATACAAAAAACTACAATAGGAGGTACGCCTTCGATCTCATGGACCGTCTTGACTTTTCATACTGCAGGTGAAATAAAAGCTCACAGAATCGGTCTTTGTCAGTCACGTGCGTTTATTATGTGTGACGTCACCGAGGCGCCATTTAGAAGGTATCGTTGCATTGAGCAGTGAACTAAAAGTGTACAGAGCCGTGCAGTAAAGACCGATTAAATCGTCATACTGGAGAAACAGCTGCAAACCAAGTAGATACGGTACCGAGATAATCTCAGCAAAATTTTTTTAGGAACCGTAATTTATGTAATTTGCCAATGATGATCATTAACAATTAACACTGATCCATACTAACGTTACCGGCCGCAAAAAGTTGAGTGCCACCGGCATCGCTGCCTCCAACCGTGTATTTTCAATTTAGGACAGCATATTATTTCCATATTTTCCAAGTGATACAGTAATCCCTATGTCATATGTTTGCCTGTTTCTGATTTATGTCTCTGTCATCACACTATGTTTCTGTGCTCCATCACTTCAGGGTGACAGCAGGTGCAGTAACGGTGTCCAGCAGAAAGGCAAGATGTTGTCAGATGCTCAGCTCTTTGATTTGGAGTTTGAAAAGTTGGTGTCTGAACTTACAGAGCAGGATTTCACTGATCCAGTTCTCACTGATGCCCTCAACAGACTCAGAGAGGTAGAGTAAACCTCTCCCAGTCTGTTTGGAGTGAGGAAATCTGCATGAAGACAAATAGTTAAGATGGCAGACAAAGCATTTGAAGTTTAAAACTCTAGAACAGATCTGAAACCATTCTGAAACAACACTCTATTGAATTATTTTATTATTTGTCAGTTTGGCTTTTCTTTTTTCTTTTGAAATAAGTATTTTTTTTATATATATAATTTTTCTTTAGGTGCTTCGGTACAATGCTCCTGGAGGCAAGAGAAACCGAGGCTTGTCTGTGTTTGGTTCGCTACAGGAGCTGGTCTCTCCTTCTGAACTGCCACCTGATGAAGTTCACAGAGCCCTTTTGGTTGGATGGTGCATTGAACTGGTGTGTGAAATTGATACTATTAATTGACTTTATGACAACGGATAATGACAACGGTTACTGACAATGCAAGTCAGCTTGCATTCAGAGTAAATGACTTCAAATGCAGTTTATCAAAGTTTATCATGGCACGAGTATCTTGGATGAACATTTAGTATACATTTACACTAACTGTAGATAGAGATTGGCAGAGGAAATAAACCAAACTTTTCCTTCTTAATTTTCTGACAATGAAGCATACGTCCATATAAAATTTAATGTAACCACTTAAATTACATTTAATGATAATAAAAAAACTCAAACTCACACACTTTAATTGTACAGCCTTTTTATTTAATGGAAAAAAAGTCACAGAATCTCAGAAGTGTAAAATGTCAGTGTCATAAAGAAAGACAAGTCTGATCCAGTTCATGCATTATTCAAGATTACTGGCTGATTTCAGGAAAGGAACGAACAAAACTATTAACTAGCCACTCTGGATACCTAGTATCCGAATGACATCTGCTATAACAACACCTTGATAGACTTTACAGCTTGATGGACAAAATGGCAGCAAGGCTTCTTAGTGCAGCGATTTGATTGCCAATTTGGGCTGTCAGTCATTTATCTGTCATAAGGTCAATTGCAATGCAAACGAACAAATAGTGCAGTGCAAAATGTTTTGTTTTCTCCCCAGCTTCAGGCTTTTTTCTTGGTGTCTGATGACATTATGGATGCATCCCTGACAAGAAGGGGTCAACCCTGTTGGTATAAGAAGGTAATTGATTGATTGATTGATTTATGATTGGTTTGAGATATATGCTGATGATACCGTAAATTGTTTATGTTCTAATAATATTTCCAATCAATTTAGTTTTATTCTTTGAAGTGGAATCTTTCAAAAAAAATTATATCATGTATTTTCTATCATGTAACACTAGTGTATATCAATTGTGTGGATTGTGTGCTAATCTATGTTGTTTATGTATTTGTCAGGAAGGTATTGGTCTGGATGCCATTAATGATGCTTTTCTCCTGGAGGGGGTGATCTACCGCCTTCTTCGCAGACATTGCAGAGGACAGCGCTACTATATTCATCTTCTTGAGCTTTTTACTGAGGTAACACACCTAAAAGATTCATTACTCTGTTACAGCAATGTGCACACATTTTAACTTATTATTGCTCACTGGCAGTGTTGGGCAGTAATGCATTACTTAGTAACACGTTACTGTAATTTGATTACTTTTTTAGTAACGGAATTTAACACGTTATAATTTTCAAAATAGAAATTAGAGTATAGTTACAAGCCGAGGTGTCTATACGTTACTGCCGCGTTACATTGCTGACAGAATGCAGTGTTTTATAATCTAGAGATTGTAAAAAGGATGTAGCACACGCACTGTCGAGTCAAGTGCCAGTGGATTAGAGACCTGCTCCCGCGAGTGGGAGAGTTCTTTCAGATACAGGTATTAGTATAATAAATCAACACTTTTGAAGCCTGAAAGCTATCAGATCTTCTCTGGTTGTAATATACCAAAGCATTCAGAACATGTTTGTCATTGACAGGATGACTACTTGGATTGTTATGGTGACCCCGCAGTGACTGGAAAGATTGGCACGGATATCCAGGACAACAAATGCAGCTGGCTGGTGGTGACCGCACTGGGCATCATGACACCTGAACAGAGGGCAGAACTAGAGGTGAGAAAATGTGGGACAGTTTCTAAAAGGAAATAATTGCAGAAAGCAACAGTCAAATGTGGTCAAGTTAACAGATTTTCCCTCTTTCTTTCAGGCATGTTACGGACATAGTGATGCTGAAAGTGTTGAACGGGTCAAGACTTTGTACGATACTCTGGAATTGCCTATCCGATACCATCAACATGAGGAGGAGAGCTATCGCCGTCTTCAAAAACTCATCCAGCTGCATGCCAAGAATCTGCCTCACGCTGTGTTTCTTAATTTTGCCAAGAAAATATATAAGAGAAACAAATAAGCCGTGGTTCAAAGAAAGGAAAGGGACTTCACTAGTGGATTTTTAGGCACACAGACTTGGGTGAAATAAAGATGCAGGGAGGGATTTTAGTGGTTGAGTAAATATGGAAATGGTAGGTTTTATCCGCACTTTAAATATACTGTCAAGAGTTGAATTATTTGTCATAACTATTTGTGTTTTCCCCTTTTATTGTTGCAGAAAAATACAATATGTTGATTCATAGGTCTTCCACATATTGCACATATAAACAACACCTGTCAGTGTTTCACTTGGGGTGTGTGTGTATATATATATATATGAATAAAACATATATTTTCATCAGGTTTTTGGATTGTATTTTCAACATCTTTGGATAAATGAGAAAGGAAAAATATGTATATATTATCATTGCACTGAGAATAAAAACCAACAAACAGCTGATCAGGTGCAATCCCAGTGAATAGATGCACATATTCTTTAAAAACAATTATTTAATAAGTTAAATAAGCAAAGAAATACCTAGATAAAATATCTGCCAAGGCAGAACACAGTGGTACTTTTTTTTCGGGAGACCTGTCACGTTAGGTTGTACTGTACATTTTTAGACTGTACTCACCTATCCAGTCATCCATCAATCCCCATCATTGCTGTAAATGTGGATTATAGAAAGACGAGAAATGTGCTTTTAATAAAGAACTTTGATCAACATTCTTTTTCCACGCACTTTTCTGTGAGAGGAGGTGTTTGAATGAGTGTGTGCAAGAGAAGTTTTGTGGGCTCGCTGCTCTCGGTTTGGTCCAGGCTGAGCAGAGATGCTGCTGAGGGGTGTGGTCTCGAGGATGGGAAGAGAGAGAGAGAGAGAAGAAGGGAGGGCTGGATGACGGAGAGATAGACAGGAGGAAAGAGAATAACGGCGTGTAATAATTTCAGAGTCAGGGCTCGTGCGATGGAATAGAGATCGAGATTTATATCCTTCTGGAAATTAGGTAATTTGTTTCGTATTGAATTGTGTGTTGGATTATGTGCGTTTTGTTTTATTTCCGGATTTTGCTGATGAATCTGTTTTGTTTATACGGTAAGGTATTCGAAGATATATCATAAACCAATACGTTATTATTGTCAAATTTTAGTCTCCTGTATTGATACAGTACTATTAAAGTCCACGGAGGAGGTGTTATCACAACTCGTATGTCATCACGTCTTATTACACATCATTTTTATACTCTATAAATATTTAATATATCAATCACCAACAAATAATTAATGCACAACGGCGTCTTAGATTACGGGATGTTCAAATATTGTATTGTATTTATATCAGTCATGAGTTTATTTACTAAACGCGCACTAGGCCTAGATTTACATCCTCTGTATCCAAGGACATTAGGCGCGAGCAGTGCATTGCCCACGGTGTTCATGAAGAGCAAAAACAGCGTTTGTCATTGCTATGATTTTCTGCTCCACGTGCCTTATGCAGAGAAAAATTATGCAGATTTTGTACAGTAGAATAAAGAGCTTTCTGGATATGTTAAGGATATGTTGATTAGCCTATATATAGGCTGTTTTTGTTCTCTCTCTTATGGGCATGGAAATATATTTAGATTAAATAATGTACAAATTCCGCAAATTAATACAAATTTGTTCTTATCTGAGGTCATCATAGCTTTGGGTGAATGCAGTAAAAGACTAAAAAGATGCCAAGTTCTGAATCTAATTGTCAGTTGGCAAATATTAGAAGGCATTTTTTCTTTACTCTTACAAATAATATATTATTTTAATAATGTTGATATAATATGCTTAAATGAAATACCGTTATAGGTAACATTATTATTAAAATTATTATAATTGAAATTATTATTAAAATCATTATTGTTAAAATTATATATTATTTATTAGACAAACAACTGAATAGTACTTAGCATGCAAGCAGTTTCTAAAAGCTGGTGTGTACAGTACACGTGTTTCAGTAACACAGAATAGTGTATACATTTTTATGCTAATAATATGTTATGTAAATAATATGTTTAATCTCAGTCCAGGAGCAACAGAGAAGTACGACTTTAACTACAAAATTTACCAAGTGATGCTAAATTGTGAAAACATTTTTTGTCCAATTTCTCAAGTAAGGTGGTACATTTTTGTGTTTCTAAACAAAATCTGTCTTTCTCAATATTTCAGGTACTAACTAGACCCAAGATGTGACCCCATATGTTTACAAACTCTTTAGAAAAACACCAGAATAATAATCAGGACATAAAAACTATCCCACCATGCACCCCTCCTCTCGTCCCTCTGTGCCCCCACGTTACCGCAGGTTTGTCAATAGGCGTACGGAGGTAAAACCAAGCCAAGGGGCTAAGAGGGAGGACAAAAACATGAACACAGCATCTTCATCCCCTCGTTGTGGCACTCGGGGACCACCTGAGTCTTCCAGGTTGAAGGGCCCCAGTCAAGGTGCACGAGCCCCAGTGGTTCAATCCAAACTGGTGCGGCCACAGAAGAATGGTGCTAACGCAATACCAGCAATCTCAAAACCAAAAAGTGGACACACTGTATCAAACCTAGTCTCAGCTGTGGATCCAAACTGCAATGAGCCCAGCCTACCTTGTCTGTGTTGTGATGGCCATTCACCTCAGGATA